AGGAAAGAGAGGAAGGAGGGAAGAAGGAGAGAGAGAGGGAAGGAAGGAAGAGAGGAAGAGAAAGAAGGGAGGGAGGAAGGGAAGGAAGGAAGGAAGGAAGGAAGGAGAAAGGGAGGGAGGGACGGAGGAAGGAGAGAGAGAGGGAAGGAAGGGAGGAAGAGAAAGAAGGAAGGAAGGGAGGAAGGAAGGAAGGAAGGGCCTTCTCCATTGCCTTCCAACGCCCAGCAGCAGCGACTGCATCTCTCTCTTCCAGCTTCCAGCCTCCGAGGGCGGCGGGGCACTGGAAGGACCAAGCCAGGAGGCGGTGCGCACAGAAGGGTCGGGGGAGGGCCCGGGCGAGGAGGCGGGTTGGACGTGAGATTTTCAAACATCAGATCGGTGCGTTTATATATTGGGTGCCCGGAAATTTTTCCAAATAAACACAGCTTGATTCGACTTGGGTGGTCAGACTTATCAACAGACTAATGCTATAAACAAATGAAGGGGCGAAAGCGGGGGAGGGCCCCCCTCGGTTGCTCCGCGCCGAGCCACGTGGAAGGGCTGCAGTCTTCGCAGGCAAATGTTAATTAATGTGGGTGGGCTGAGGCGCGCTCCGCGGCTGTTTATCGGAGCCCATTTCTTTTCCAGCGCTAAGTCAACACAGAATCGCAAACTTACAACAAGCATTTCACGTTTCCTCCACCCCCTTCTTCTTCTTCTTCTTCCTCCTCTTTTTCTTCTTCTTTTTTTTTCCCCTCCCCGCTTTTGGGGGAAAAAAAAGCGCGCTATGAAGCTGGGGCAGAGGCAGCGCCGGCGCGAGAGAGGCGAGGACGCGCCGTCGCCAGTGTCCCCAGCGCAGGCGGCTCCGGGGAGGCCTGGGGAGGCGCCCCCTTTCCTGGGCCCTAGCTGCCGCGCACCGGAGCCAAAGCTGGAGTGACTCCGGACCTGCCATGAGCCAGCTCTACCCCAGCCAGCTCCCTGCCGCGATGGTCTACCTCTACGGGGCCGAGAGGGGAGCCCTGTCCGGGGCGCTGGGCTTCGCCCCGGCGGCGGGGGCGCTGCCCAGGCAGGACTCCCCGCAGAAGCCCCCCTACAGCTACATCGCGCTGATCGCCATGGCCATCCAGCAGGCGCCGGAGCAGAAGGTGACGCTCAACGGCATCTATCAGTTCATCATGCAGCGCTTCCCCTTCTACCACGACAACAAGCAGGGCTGGCAGAACTCCATCCGCCACAACCTCTCGCTCAACGACTGCTTCGTCAAGGTGCCCCGCGAGAAGGGCCGCCCGGGCAAGGGCAGCTACTGGACGCTGGACCCGCGCTGCAACGACATGTTCGAACACGGCAATTACCGGCGCAGGAAGAGGAAAGCCCGCGGCGGCCCGCCGGCAGCGGACGAGGCCGGGCCCGAGCAGGAGGGCGCCCCCGGGGAAGCCCCCAAGAGGCGCCTCCC